ATAATTTTTATCTTTGCTTACAATAACTGATTCATGTATCTTTTTCTTTTTTTTATCGTTATGTATTTTTTAATAAAAATCTAATGTTCAATTAATGAAATTATTGGTGGCTCATATATTTTTAATTATTAATATAATTAACTTACTTTTTAGCAGCATTCATTATTTTTTTACTTATTCTATATTATTTATTATTTTTGATTTTATTATATTTTATTATTTTTTATTTTATTTATTTATTATATTTTTGATTATTATTATATTTATTATAATTAAAATAGTATTATTGTAAATTCTTCTTTTTTATATTTATTCATATTGATTTTTATTTTTATTAATTTACAATTTACAATTACAATTTTTATTAATTTACATTACAAATTGAATATCTATATGTTAATTGAATATCTATATATCAATTGAATATGATTAATAATTATTCATTTATATTTTTATTTGCTATGGAAATAAAGTTTGATTTTTATTATTTATAATTTGACTTTATTTTTTTTAAATTTTTATCTAAAAATAAGTATCTATTTTCTTAGCTTTATTTTTTTTTTAATCTATTGATTTTTTTCTAAAACTATTTTATTTAAAACTATATTTTTTATGAAAATTCAGAAAATTAAGAAAAAAGAAATATAAACTAAAGCCATAAATAAAAACTTTATAAATAAAAGTCATAATTAAAAAAATATAAATAATAAAAGATAATAGATAATTATAAAATAAAAAAAGATTTCCAATATATTTATAATTATTCAAATTTAGATCAAATTTCTCTTCATTATTAATGTACAAAACAAAAACAATTATATTTGATTTTTATTTGGCATTTATATATATATAATAAACAATAAATTTCGTAACAATCTATAAGACTTCTTATATTAATTATATAAGTTTTAACGTTTATAATAGTATTATGTATCAAACACATAATTTATCAAAATATATATATTATATTAATATAATATATTACGATACCAAATTTTATTATTATTATTATTATTATTACCAACATAAAAATAAGATTAAGTTTTTATTTTTATTCATGAAGAATACAATAAATAATAAATAATGATAATATAAATAATATAAAACAATTGCGAAAATATATTTAACAGCTTATCTTAATTTTTCTTCTATATCAAAAAAATAAAAATATTAAAGAATTATAGTTGTTATATGCACTATAAATTTTAATAAAAAAAAAAGATATATGCAATTTGTAATGTAACAAGTGGAATATCTGTTGCATTTCACCAATTTAAGTGTTACGAAATATCAAACTTGGCAGATTTCCAATTGGCATCTTGTCTGAAATTACGGAATTTATAGCATACTACCTCTTCAAATCCTTGTTTGTATTTTTTTTTAAATTTGTCGGTCGATCATGAGTCTTTCAATATTCGATAAGAACCTTCATTAGCAATAATAACAAATTATATAATTTTAACATTAATTCAAATGATTTCATTTATAATTTAATGAATATTTATGAATATATATATATTCAATATTTCCATTTCAATTTTTGATAATTGAAAAGAACAAGAAATAAATTTCAAATAATATATTATAAATTCATTTATTAAATTTAGACTATGTTTATTTTTAAGACGATATTTTTAAAATGTATCATATGGATATAAAACATAAATTTGTGAATTACATAATCGATTCAATGAAACGTATGTTTGACTGAATATAATTGAAAAACGTATGCATAATACTATTACATACAATAACTATATTTCATTGCCTTTTTCGAAGTATTCAAATTTTTTCAAATATAATTTAAATATTTAAAATCGAAAACGAGATAAATTATATAAAAGATAAATTTACATATTATGATGATTA